ATGAACTGATAGACATGCTCTTCATTTCATGGTCTGACAACTGCTTAAGACCATCTGGAACATGATTGTATTTCACACTGCTGTCTCCTCTGTTGAAACACAATACCCGCCATCTCACTGTGCTAAATTTTTTTCACATGGAGAAATTCAACTACACACCTTTGCATCATATGCACTTCAGACCATTTTGTCAGATTGCCCCTCTGCTGCCATCTGTTGCACAAAATGTAACAGAATAAAAGTGGAAAGGTTCAATCTTAGCTAATACCCTAACATCCACTTCTGATGTCAAGGGCCAACACAATAAAATAGGAGGCATTACTTTCAGATCTGCTCTCATATTAATTGAATATGCCAGTGTTGTAAAGGAAGAAATTAGAGGATGGGACATCACCAATAAATACATGTCACAAGTGGTACTACACGTCCAAGAGAAAGCAAAAACAGAATTTTGTATTTGGAATGGACACTAATCTGAGTGAAATAAAAACAGGCTAACACAATCCATACTAAAATGCTCCAAAACAAACAATTAAAAGAAAGAATGTATCCTAATGCATAAATACTCAAGGCACTGTTCATATGAGACTGAACTTAGATAAGTAATTAATTACAGAATCAAGAACTGTTGTACTTTAAATCCAGTAGTCATAAGTTCATTATTTACTTCACATACAACCTGAAAGAAGGCCAAACCACCCTTGAAATAAATATTAGTAAAACAACAAAACAATCTGACACCGAGCAGAAATTAATCTTGTGTCTTTCTTATTTACTGAGTTGATGGTTGACTACAAAGCCTAAGCTTTTTCTATTTTGTTTTTTTTATATAAATTTTTTTCTACTTCTTTCTATATATAATTTTGCAGTTGTTGCAGCTAGAAGATTTTATCATGCAACACTCTTCCCTTCCCTAAGAAGAAAACTGGGAGGGAAGAAAGAGGAAAAAAATGTGACTGAGATAGGAGAAACTAATTCATTAAAAGGATTGTGAGATAGTACAGACTAATTAAGAGCAATAAATCAAAACAAAGCAAAAATAAAAATGGAGGAGAGAAAGAAGGTCCTTCCAAATCATTATTGGCAGGCCCTCCACTACTTCCCTCCTGGGAAAGACCAGAGAACACTTCCCCTATTACTTGGAATCAGAAAGCATGTAGAGGCTGACTCCTGGGAAATGCAGTACATCCTAGAATATCTTCCTTTTTAAGTCTCATGTGAGACTGCTAGTGATAAACAGGAAACATAGCTCCATAGTGCACAATGTCTCTGCACCCAACAGCCTATTGCATGAAGTTATGAAATGGAATACTGATAAAACCAGACAGCGAAATTTACACGCAATTAAATCCATTAAAACACGACTGGACAAAAGTTAATTGTAAACAAGCAATCCTTACAAACCTTTCTAGATAACACCATGTACAAATAATTGATATATTCTGATATAAACTGATTCTGAAAAGAATCAGTGCTCCATAAAGTGCACTTTTTTCCTTATTTCCTTTTTCTTTTTTTTTTTTTTAATGATAAATATTAGGTGAACAGTAAGTAAGAAGAACAAGATGTCACACAGACACAAAGACTGAAAGATGGACTGAAAGATATAGTGTGTATTGTAATTGTTTTCCTTTAAACTTTCAGAAATTATTATGGAAATCATAATTTTAAGAAAAAAGAAAAAAAGAAACAAAAAAAATAAAAAAGCTTGAGAATCCCTACTGTGAGTACTTCTTTAATTTTATCAAATTGTGAATACATATTTAATTTTATCATATTGTGAGTACATATTTAATTTTATAATGGGTCAACTTGTTGGATAATCTTAAGATCAAAGTCATCATTCAGTGAATGACAAGACTAAAATATTGTAATGGAAAGCTAATAAAAAAAAACTACTCCATCTCTCAAGAAAATTAAGTACTAAATTTGAGGATGCAGATACAGGCAATAAATACCCTTCTAAGAAAATTTACTTGAAAGTACACTAATAATAACTGTTGCAAATAAAGATCTGATCACAAGACAAAGAAAAATAGCAGGTAGATTAGAAATTATATTTTCAAAGAAATGATAAATCCTTGAAAAATATTTATTAAATAATAAAAGAGAAGCTACAAAATTTGTTCAAGAATAATATGACTCTCTGATAACTGTTGTTTTCATGCTAGCTTTACATTTACATGTACTGCTTATGCATAAATAGTCTGTGGAGGCTCCCATCTTGGTGAACTTCAAAAGCCACCTGGACGTGTTCCTGGGCAATCTGCTCTAGGCAAATCTGCTTAAGAGGGAGTAGGACCAGGTGACCTCCAGAGGTGCCTTTCAACCTCAAACATTTTGCAGTTTTGTGATATTTTGCTGTACCAGGAGGTGTAGTTCTCCTGGCTGCATGGTCAATTTTAGCCACAGTGTTAATTGTCAGTGGCACAAAAGTGGGGATAATCAGTACAAGGTCAGACATTTGTCATATACCATGATCTGAGGGGAAGAGTTAAAAGTCAAAGTATGCTGGGATTACTTGATATAAATTGTCTTCTCATGTCCAAACACCAAGATAAAAACTGGACAAATTTGAGAAAGAAATGATAAAAGGAATTTTCAATTGTATCCAAGGCCAAATTGCTTGACCAAACTATTCCCATGCCACTTCCATAAACAAAAATAATTGGTTTTCTCATAACTATCTGCATTGTATGATTTCTGATATTCTGCAAGAACACTATGTTCAAAGAGCTTTTTTCCCCCCATCGCTACTATCAACATTACAGTTTCATCATTACATATTTTCATGTTCTTCTTGCAAAACTTAATAAGCCTTACAGGCTACTTTCACTATTCAAAATGTGCAACTGACACTTAAATGGAATTCGCCTTATTCTATCCAGATGTCAAAGTAGGAAAAATGTACTGCAACTTATGTGTATATATATGTAAATTTTATATACATATATATATATATATATGATTGTTTTGCTCTCCATAATCTCCTTGCAAACAGATTTGGACAAGAAATGCTTATTTGAATTGTTTCAACAGATTGTATTTATTATATTTTGATTTTTAAGATATTATTAATGACAAAAATAAATTCAACATTTGAAATTATTTTAAGGATAATCAAATTATGATTTTTCTCTAATACTTTCAAAACAAATATGTATTTTTTTTTAAAGAATTCGGAGGTTTTTTTTGTAATAATATTAATACAGAAAAACATAACACAACAAAAAGTGTTGGTGAAAAGAGGAAAAGCATCTTCAAAATCTGCCACTATTAGAACAGAGAATTTTAATCATTAGCTTCTATTCACAAGGGATACTGGAGTTAAAAGGCTGTCATATCTAATTAACATTTAGTTAGGAATACGGAAGGAATACACAATGGGCTTTCATAGCTGGCAGTCAAAATCCAGCTGGGAGAGGTGAAGCAATCCACTACTTAGAGGCAATCAAAACACTGTAATATATGACTAAGACATCTCACTAGTCATTTGTGCCAGCATGCCCTAATTGAAGGAAAGATCTACAGGAAACAGCAAATTAACCTTCTTCCATAATGCTATCCATAATAGAAATTCATTATATTTTATTATATATATTATATATAAAAGATATCATACGTCATATCTTTTAGGATACTTCCTAGATCTCTAGTGTGACCTTGTGAGACATGAAACATACAATCATAAACTACTGCCTGAAGAACTGAAGCCATAGCTGTCATTTTATGCAGTTTCACTCCTTTTGTCAGGCAAAGAAATATTAATAGTTTGGGGTTTTTTTTTTTCCAATTTCACTTTGTCCAGACTTTAATTCAGCTACAACCCAAAAAATTTTACAAAGCTGTTTATTTTGATATATGTAAACTTGACATGCATATAAACCACTACAAAACAAAATTATCCTCTAGTAGAAAGGACATCCTTGGCTACAGAAAGCATACACCATCATAAATCTTAGGGGCCTATTTTGAGCTTTACTTTTTCAAAATCAATGCTTATTAATAGTGCAGTTACTTACATTATCTTACCCTTTATTTGAGATCACTATTTCAAATAAAATCATAGAAGTTTAAGTATCACTATGCAAAATAAATCCAATACATACACTACACGGACTTACACCCCACCAAGAGACAGATGTTAAAATATAATTAAATATTGAATAAATAAATTTAATTGAAACATGCTATGTTATTGAATATGTTTCTTACGGATGGATCTTTGTCACTGTATTATTATAAATAAAAAAAAATGAACCCTGCAATCCCTGCCACTCCTGCAGCCCACTACTACAAAAAGTTTGCAACATAGTATATCTGCTAATATGCAATGGTGGTGGCAGCAGACACACACAGCAGATGTACTGCTGGTAAATTTTCCATTTCTTGCAATTAAAATTAATATTTCAAAACTACAGTTTGGAAATTTCTGAATTTTTTTTTTACATAATATATGTAATTGCAAGAAATTTCAAAACAATTCATTCACCGCCAAGAATTTGTCAACAATGGCAATGAAAAAGAAGATAGCTCAAGTAAATTCGATTAAAATTTTTAACTTAAAAATTAAATAACTACTTTAATGAGAATGAAAGATAAATGCTTCCTATTTTTCTTAAAAGTGATATGATGGTATTAAATAGTATATAAAAGCAATAAATCTGGATGGCCAGACTACTTTGTTTGAAACAAATACCTTTTGCCTTCTCATAGGGTGCTGAACTAAACTGCTCTGTCAGTGATCCAAACTTTAGTCAATAATAAGGAAACAGAAGTTACCAATCAACTAACACAACCTTAAAAGTGGGATAATTTACTTACATTTTAGGTGGGAGTAAATATCCAGTACCAACTTACCAAGCAGAGTTCATTTGTGACAGAGTAATTACTAAGTAACTGTAATATTGTACAGATTGCTACCACTGTATTTAGTGTACCAAACTCTATCAGCTTTCTTCTACAACTATATTTTTGGAATTACAAACATAGATGCTTACCAAGATGGTGGTAACTATTAAAGAACGATTGGACAGAGAATCCGTGATGTTAGCTGGTTTTCCTTTCTGATTCTCTGTCATGTTAAGGCCACTCAGTGGATCCCAAGTTCCAACCTATAAAAACAGTATATTACTATGTAAATTGTCCATGAGTTACATTTCATCATCTAGGAAATAACATGCTAACGAAAAACAAAACAAAACAAACAAAAAAAACATTTCTGAAAAAACAAACAAACAAACACTTGCGAGTACTTATTATTCAACCCTATTCCATTATCTGTTGTCATTACATTTCTAAAATACGATTCATGATAATTCAGACTGTGTTTCTTAAAGTGTGACATTAAGGGGAAAAATGATGCACAGAATATCTACAGCCACTCTGAATACTTAATTTTCCACTTAACTTTCATACTTCAAGATAAACCATATTTGAAAATAACTCAATAGTTTGGTGGAAATTGTGCAGAGCAGTGAGCATTGTCTCTACAGAATGATTTATCCTTTGCGCTCATCAAAGAGAACAGAGGGACAAAAAGATATCATGGCAAAAATGTCACAGGGAAGGATGAAAGGAGATTAGGTGCTATAATTTAACTCTTTTCCATATAAATGTTCAGTGTACAGATATTTTGACATTTTCTACCCTGAATTTCTTATTCAAGTAAAGCCAATAGGATTTTTATTTAAGTTAGGACCCAGGATGATGTTTTAAGGTACAGGTCAAGGACAGTTTCACTTACTAGTCAGTAAGTCTTACATTCACATTATTCATCTCCAATTTCATCACTATAAAACTAAAGCAGACAATAAATTTTAGACATCAAAACTTTTGTATCACTCCCATCTAGAAAAGGAAAATTGACTTTTTCGTCTTTGAAAACATTTTGTCTGTCATTTAAAATACTGAGCAGTATCTACAACACAATGTAAATAAACTTTAAAACTGAATTCAACAATTCTGTAATTCAACATTTCCATAAAAGTTTTGGTTGTAAATATATATATGCATATATATACACACATACACATATGCACACATATATATGTGTTTATTTGTATATATATAAAGATACACAGGAATATACTTATTAAATCTTTCAAACTGATTCCTCAGCAACCATATTACAGCATACAGTCTGTCAAGTTCAGGATGTGATTCAGCATGGGTTGAATAGAGTTTCATCTCTTAAAACTGAGAACACAACAGAGCATGAATCAGCAGAAGCAGTAACAAAGAAAAGCTAAGTTTGCTTTCATTTTTACCACTTCCAGTTGCTCAGGAATATTTATCTTTCTTCCCTGCATAACTCTCGTATTTGAGGCAAGACACCATTCCTTTGAGTGACTGTGATTCTAGAATTTTTGCCATTCATTACCTCTTATGTTGAAAAAAAGAACTATGAAGGGAATGCAGGGGAACAAATGAGTCCAAATACAATTGCAATATAACAAAACAAGGCATCTTCTCAAATCATTGAAACATAAGGTTACAATTAACAAACTTTTTCTTCATGTACTATTTTAGAATAATTTCATTTTGTGATTTGAAATGTTTATAGGAAAACCAAAATATGCAGCTCTGAATTTTGGCCACAATTAAAAAATAGTAAAAGGATTGAAAACCTTCTGTTTTTCTGCAATATTTTTTTAATTATGACAATCATAATTCAACTTTACCTCAGAAAAGCAAATATTATTAGTTAAAATATTTCCTTCCCTACTTTTATATACAAACAAATAATTATAAACTTTTAGTATTTGTGTTTTTATCTAACCCTAACTACACCCGTGTAGTTGAATAAGAACAATCAACTGCACAGTTTCAAAGAGGAGTTTATGTCTTGTTAAATTATTGCATTGTTTTTCTAAATGAGTTTAAATGCAATTGCTTTACACGTGTTTGTTTTTGTTTTGTTTTGTTTTTTTGTTTTTTTTTTTTGTAAATTAAAAATGTAAGAAATGGAACAAAAGTACAATTTTCTCTAGAGTACATCCTTCTTTTATTCTTAATGAACTCAGCAACTATGTCAGAGACTCTGGAATATGACTGATATTTATACCTGCCTAATTACACAAATATCTCCTAAAAGCTTCTCCTATAGAAAACAGTGCATAAGAAGTGCAATTAATTCATTTTTTCTTCTATTTGCTTAAACACAGTGTTTGAATTGTAAAGTATCTTTTTGAACAGAAAGAAGAGTTAATGCGCTTTCACTAGAAAACTGAGAGTACTTTAAATGCCAAAAAATGTTGAAAAAGCAAATCAAGGTACTTTGTTACATGCAATTTCAATTAAAAAAACTTGCAGTTTACTTCTACTGCCTTACCAGTACTTCTAACAAATTTTTAAGTTCTCCTAAAATGTGAAAGAAACTGATAAACTTATATACAGTTTAGAGAGAACATTCACACCGTAAATACAGACACAGTGCTTTAGTTTCCCCTTTTATTTTTCAATATGGCAGAGCTAGAAAACTATTTTAAATGTTATTAAAAAAAATGAAAAAGTGAGAAGCCTGTATTCCCAGTTATGGCTAGACTATTTTGGAGTGAGTTTGTCAACTTGAAACTGCAAGATACATGTTATCCACAGCATGAACATGGGAACTTTTTTCCCTCTTTATGTATTATAAAAACTTGGACAGAAATTTCCAGAATTGTGTTGTTGGCACTATTCTTGGTGTTTGGGTTTTTTTGTTTGTTTGCGTGGGTTTTTTTTAGCTTGATGTTTATTTTTAATATTACAGTTTCCAGGAAAAAAAAAATCCTCAAGAAATTTGAAGTCTATCAAAAAAGTTGCATCATCTGACCTAAGACAATGGTAGCAAGATAACATAGCTACTTTCTATAACTGAATGAAACAAGTCCTAAATTTGTAGCCCCAGTGAAAAATACATATTTGTATACTATAATACTACATCTTATTAATAGTAAATTAAAAGTAAATCAGCTTTCATTTCCTCTCATTTCTTTCATTTTCTTATGATGAAGCTTCAGCTTTAACACTGTTTTCCCATAACATCCAAAAGTATAGCATCTTCATGATAATGTGGAAGCAGATATTGAGATAGACTAAGATAGTCATTACCATAAGTAAATAACATGGAAGAAATAAGAAATACATACTTCAAATCTGAATGTAGTGTCTTTTATATATATAGATATTAGATATATATATATTATATTATATTTGCTTATTATATATATATAATATTATCTGTTTCTACCTGTTACTACAAAGACACTATCCTTTTATACTGCAATAAGCAGATTGTCTGGGAATATTATAGAGGAATACTGCACTACGCTTGCCACTTTTTATATAATTCTCTATTCTCTGCAGCTGCTCACTGCAGATACAGAATATTAAACTAGATAAGCTCAGAGATTTTTTTTATCATGCTCCACAAGAAAAGGATGTAATGTACTTTTTTGAGTATATCTCAGGTTTCCAAGTGGTCAGTCAATTGTATACCACTTTTAAAAATCTCTTAAACAACCTTCACAATGTTTAAATAATAGTTCAGAAGTACAAACAATGTCAGAACTAAATCTAAAAAAAAAATTAATCAAGTGTTTCAAGATAGTAACTATCCAAGGAAAAATTCAGCAAGTAATGAAAAGAAGTCTGGCTAATATTCCCACAACTTTAATTATCTTCTATGTGTATGTATTCAAGTATTTTGTACACTGCCTCAAAGAACAATAAAAAAATGAAGTTAATAAAATTTTACTTATTTCCACAAATATTTAATACTAAAATATAATTGACATTATTTGTACAGGAATACAAAAAAATGAAAATAGTAGGCCTGATAAAACAGACCGAATAGTCATTCAAGTCCTGACTACTGAATGCTGCAACAGTTAATTTGTACAATAAAATTTTAATAGATTCATATAGTGGAATAATTAACGATAATTATGATGCATTCTTGAACATTAGAAGGAAGAGTGCTGAATACAGTAATTTTTCACTTAAAATTTGTACAGTCTGCTTAGCAACACGGCAGGAATTTGAAAAGAAATTTTGGACTATATTGGATTTCAACTCAAACTTTCTAGTCTCTACTGGAAATAATAATTGGAATTTTGTTAGGTTTATCTATCAGAACAACAACATAAACTTTGTCAATCTTCTTCAAATTTCTCACCTTTTCAAGGTTATTGGTCATTTACATTATACTTTTTCAAGTTCATTTCTAAGAGAAAGCATACATGCAATTTAAAAGGCATATTCAGAGTCGAGTTTTTACAGTATCTAGTGTGAATGCAGCTAAGTTCCTGAATTACACTTCCGTACAAATAAAAATCTCGCAAGTGATTACTTAGATAGTTAGGTAAGGTTAACAGTATTTTTAAAAGTGGTAGCTTCCTTTTATCTGAGTAACTTTCACAGATACTTCATGATGCTAGTTTATATTCTATAGTATTTTTAAATAAAAATGAAATTTGCCATTCAGTAAAAAAAGCCTTTCCTAATTATACCAATCATAATTCAACAAGTTATTTATGAAAAATATGAAATTTTTTATTCTTTCAATTGCAATGTGAGGAATAGACTTCTTTAGTAAAGCTCAGACTTTCTTCAAAGCTACTATCCTTACCAAGACTAATGCAATGTAATTCACCACAATAACAAATAAGAAGCACTGTACGCTCCTGAAATTTAAATTCTTTGAGTTTACATATTCTCCAGACTAGCTTAATGAATATCATAGAATCATAGAATGGTTTGAGTTGGAAGAGAACTTTAAGATCATCTAGTTCCAACCTCCCTTCTACAGGTAGGGACACCTCTCACTAGATCAGGTTGCTCCAAGCCCCATCCAGCCTGGCCTTGAATGCCTCCACTGTGGGGGCATTCAAAACCTCTGTGGGCAACCTGTTCCAGTGTCCCACCACTCTCACAGTAAAGAATATCTTACTAACATCTAGCCTAACCCTAACCCTCTTCCAGTTTAAAGCCATTTCTCTTCATCCTGTTTTTACATGACCTTACAGAAAGCCCCTCCCCAGCTTTTCTGTAGGCCCCCGTCAGGTACTGGAAAGCCACTATAAGGTCTCCTTGGAGCCTTCTCTTCTTCAGGCTGAAAAGCCCCAGTTCTTTCAGCCTGTCCTCATGGGGTATAGGAGGCAATGCTACAATGAGTTGGTGGTCCAGTCTTCTGATAATCTGCATGGTCCTCTTCTGGACCCAGTTCAACAGCTCAATGTCCTTCTTGTGTTGGAAGCGCCAGATCTGGGTGCAGTACTCCAGGTGGAGTCTCACAAGAGCAAAATACAGGGGCAGAATCATCTGCTGGTTACACTTCTCCCGACACAACCTAGGATACAGTTGGCCTCTGGGGTTGAAAGCATACACTGCCAGCTCACATTGAGACTTTTATCAGCTGATACTCTCAAATCCTTCTCAGGGCTGCTCTCAAGCCATTCTCCAAACAGTTTGTATTTGTGCTTGGGATTGCCGTGATCCAGGTGCAGGACCTTGCTCTTGGCCTGGTTGAACTTAATGAGTTTGATATGGGCCCACCTCTCAAGCAGGTTTAGGTTCCTCTTAATGGCATCCCTTCCCTCTACATGTCAACTGCACCACTCAGCTTGGTGTCTTCTGCAAACTTACTGAGGTACACTCAATCCTGCTGTCCATGTCACCTACAAAGCTGTTAAATAGCATTAGATCAAGCACTGAATCCTGAGGAATGTCAATAATCACCAGTCTCCACTTTGACACTGAGATGTTGACTGCAACTTTCTGAGTGTAACTGTCCAGCCAATCTCTTTTCCAGAGAGTGGTCCATCCATCAGATCCATTTTTTTCCAATTTTACAACTGGCATGTCGTGCTGGGTGGAGTCAAACATTTTGCACAATTCCAGGTAGATGACGTCAGTTGCTGTTCCTTTATCTGCTGACATTCTAACTCCATCATGAAAGGCCATCAAGTTTATCAGGCATTACTTGCACTTGGTAAAGCCATGTTAGTTACTACCAATTACCTCATCTTTATTTTCCATGTGCCTTACCAGGGTCTTCAGGAGGATCTACTCATGACTTTGACAGGCATTGGTCAAAATTTGATGGTCTGTAGTTTCCTGGATCTCTTTTTCTTTTCTTGAGAAAGGTGCTATGTTTCCCTTTTTCCAGTCAGTGGGAGCCACACCAGACTGCCACGACCTTCCAAATATGATGGATTATGGCTTGGCAACTTAATCTGCCAGTTCCCTCAAAACCCATTGATGGATCTTGTCAGGTCCCATGGACTAATCTTAAAATTAAATGCATTAATTAAATTAGATTGTCTGAAGTATGATAGTTTTACAGTATAGAATAATTTTCTTCACAATGCAGCTTCAGTGTAAATACTAATTACAATTGCAAATATATATAACTGATATTTGATTATCGCCCCTCATTTAAGAGTTTCATGAGAACAGGTATCTCATGTACAAATTAAATTCACACAAGCCATTTATTTAATGTGAGGAGTGAATTTTCTATTATCACTGACTTCAGAATGAGTAGTTTTTACACTTAACGTACATGATTTAGATAATTTGTCATGTGTCTGGCTCCAATTTATAGGAGGGAGAGGAGGTTCTTTGATATACGTATACCCAGCATGAGATTAAGAAGCAACAGTTCATATGTTGTTCCAACCAGTTTATTACAAATCTTGATCAGAGAGATGGGGAAGGGGAGAACAGTGACTATTATGAATTAGGGTGACGGGGAAAGGAAGGCGGGAGATAGAAATATAGGAAAGAAGCAAGAATTGTATAAACCAGGAATAATCACCACCAGTCTCGTTGCATGCCATCCCAATGGTCCAAGGCAAAACCACAGGGGGAGAGCAGCAGCAGTGTGGCCAGCCTTCAGCAGCAAGCAGGTAGCAGGAAGAAGCCTCAGGGTAAGTCCAGGAGGAAGCAGCAGGTCTCAGGTAGCAGGCCCAGGAGAGTCGGTCAGCATGCAGGCATCAGCTCATGAAGCTTCTGATATCAGACACCTCTTCTTCTTCAGCATGCAGGCCTCAGGTCATGAGAAATCTGTTGTCAGAAAACCTAACCTCATGGTTGTTTTGTTGGTCCCTTTTTTTTATCCTTCTTCTGCCAATGTGGCATTCCTGGGAGATTAAGAGTCATCTGCAGCACCCCTTGAGGTGGCCATCTTCCTCGAGATAAGCCCACACAAAAGACAGCTTCCCGGCCATTAGTCTGCGGCTTATCTCTCTCTCATTGCCCCTGGCCTTGTCCATCTGTGTGATTTCTCAATTCTTGCCCAGGATTTGCTTGGACTTGTTCATCTATGTCCTCGGTAAGTTTTGAGACAATGATGTAAAAGAATAGTCTCTTACACCATGGCAGGAAGGAGGGGAAAGGGGAGAGGGAGAGGAGACTGGAGAAGGGGAAAAAGACGGAAAGTTAAGAGATAAAGGGAGGAAAAGAGAGAGAAGGAGGCAGGGAGAGAAGGAATCAGTAGGAGAACAGAAAGTTATGCATATGATGGAGAGAGATAGAATGCACAAAGTGAAGTGAAGGATGGAGGGGAGGGAGGGGTGGAAGAGCAGGAAGTAAGGAAGATTCAGCTTAGCTTTACCTGGAAGACAATATAGGAAACAAAAACAAAGAACTCATTCAAAATGAAAGGACTTGAAAAAATATATTCTCTCTCCTTGGAAGTGTCATATTCTGGGGTTTAAAGACTCCACCTGGAACCAAGGAAAATAGAGTTCCTGCTCTTTTAGAATAAACAGTATTCCTTCAAAGACATTTTTTTAGTTCAACATTGTTTTCTCTTTCTCAGTGAAATAAATTACAGAACCCAGATGTAAATTGTTCAAGGTAACAGACATATAACTTAATTTTCCTAATCACTTCTCTCTACACAAACTGTCTTCTTTTCGTTCATATGTTTTGTCGGATGAGTAGCATTCTTCAATGTTCTTTGGTAACAGTTTCCCAGCTCCCAAACTTTTCTAATGCATGGTGACTAATCCTTACTGTTTGTTCTAAATATTCTGTTGAAGAATACTATCACATCCCTTTAAAGACAAAATGCACAGTGAAGGCACCAAAAGTATCTTCCAATACTCTGGATTTCTATACATACTGTTGAAGGACACACTGGCTGTTTTAAAACATCCATATCCTTTTACAGCTATTTCTGTTATTGTCTCTCACATATCGTTCATTATTATTGTTTCCCAGTTTCTCTTTTTTTCTTTTCTGTTCTAGAATACAGCATTTTCTGTTGAATTTTATTTTCTTCACATACTTCTAATCTCTAGATTTTTCTGTTTTATTTCAGTATTTTTCAGTTGTGTACATATCTTATAATATACTGTCAGCTGAGAATTAAATCAACATGTTTTTATGTTTCTGCCTTCATATTAGTATTAAAGGTGAAATATCAACAGGCATTACACAGACCCAGAAGGAAGATACCGTTGCTTTAGCCCACTACACATCCATTATGCATTACTTTACACCGGTGTTCTCTCAGGAAATTTCCAGTCTGCGTACTTTATAACAAAAACTTGTTAACACAGACAACCCTTTGTTTTTAAAAAGGTTGTGAAGCAATATCAGATACGTAACTGAAATGCAAATATATTAATTTTCCACTTATTTAATTTGTTTTGTATTTGTACCAGAAAAGAAATTGAACACACTATGAAGAAAACCCATGGTGCTGGATGGTTCCCAAATGATCTTTAATGTCCTTATAGCCATCTTACTTTTCTTCCTTTTCTTATTCTGATTTTCTACTTACAGGCAGACTCTCTGGCCACTACTGCCGTATTTAGCTATTCCCATGACATCAATTCTTTTATTTTTGTTTCCAGGAAAAAAGACAGTTTGCACTGTACCTATGGTACTGCTATACAAAGCAAACTTGCTTTGCAAATTTAGTGACAACTATACCTTGAGAGCTCCCTTAATGGAGTATATGATGGTAAGGCTATTCACTATCCTGGTACTGCTTCATATTTTAAAATATAAATTAGTCCTTTAACCATAGGTATGCCACTGGACCTTTTTGAAAATCCTCATGTCTATTTAATAGTTCCAAAGCAAGTTAATAGCTTATAAACTTCTTTGAAATATTCCTAGTCAGAGAACATTAATATCTCAAAGCTGACATTGGAGAAAAAAGGTTCTGGAAAAATATGTTCTCCATTCAGCTATTTACAGAAAGTAAGTAAGCAAACAAATAAATAAAAAAAAAAAAGAAAAAATAAAGTAAATAAACTCTGCAGCAGGATGAGTTCCCTCAATTCCTCTTTTTACTTTTCAAGACAATATTACCTTGGAGCAATACCAAATAAAACTTCATCTGAAGATGAGGGAAAACAATGTTAACAAAACACAGTAGCTAATAGCTAAACACTGACTATATACTAAATACAAACATTGCCCTGCAGATGTAAGCTGCAAAATACTTGTTCGATTTTGTTTTCTTCTACTCACTTGGACACCTGTTTTGTAAGAATGATATAACTAACATGCACTTCAATGCTAAGATGAAAACTCAAACATTTGTCATTTTAATAGTACTGAAACCCAGCAAATAAAACATTACATAAAAAAAAAATCCAAACAGATCTCACAAAAATACTTAACTTGTCAGAACTAAAGTTTCAGCTGTACTGTCTTCTTCTAAGGAAAATAAAACCATACATATATAAAGTCTTGTGCCAAGGCTATTTTTGAAATACACTTTCAAAACCACATATATTTTATTCCCATAAAAAAATTCATTTTGCTGTAGATGTTTTGCTTTTTATTCAGGGGGAAAAAAAAAAAGTTACTTTTGTGATTTTTTTTTCTGGGGGGAAGTAGGTTTTTGCTTCATGTGTTATATCACTTCAGAGATAGACATCTTACACACCTTTTCAAGACCTTCTTCCTTGAGGCTTATAACATCTAAATCAAAATCTGTCCTTAAGCCATTGGATTTGTTGAAAGTTATCCTTCCTGTGAGGCCTTCCCAGTGAGCCTATAGAGAAAGAAAAAAATAAAAATAAAAAAGATGATTTCTATAAATAAATATCTCTTTCTTTATTTTCCCAAAAAGAAAAATCTTACTTCTAACAAAGTGAGAATATTATTTATTCTATCTCAGTATTTCAACTTGTTTTTTTTTTTTTCTTAATATTTTATATTCCCTTTTTGCTAACTAAGATTTCTTTAATCTTCAGAAATATTTTTTAAACCACTTTCCATGTTATCCAATAAACTTTATACTAAAAGTAATAACAAGCTTGTTCTTTTCATTTTTCCAATATTCATATTTCCAATTTTCACTTCTTTTTCCCATCCCAACGCTTTCCATAAACTCTGGATTTTATTATTCTATTAGGACATTTCCTTCAAACAAGGGCTTACTTTTACAAGATGCTGAGTCCTCTGAGACCACACTGAGACAGTAAAAACTGACGTCTCCCAGAGCCAATTCCTTATTTTAAATGAAATGGAATATCCTATTTTTTAATTATTTAAAGTTAGCCTGATTCTTAAACTATGTTAAATGAGGATATGCAAATGATAAAGCTTTCATCTTAAAACCAATTTAGGTTAAAAAGATGATTATATTCCATTGCACATATTTATCTTTATCATAGTATTTTGTATATGAAGAATGAGAAACAAGCAATTATTTATAGCACAAGATGTTACAAATATTAGTTCATTACAACAAAAGAAGTAAAAATTAAAACAAGGTAGTAAACTTCCTTCTTAGTCCTTTGTATTTACGCCAGTGTTTAGCCGCTGAATTTTTAATTGCTAGTCAAAAGCTGAGGGTCACAGGGGGTATTTTTCTAATGCCACAGAAATGTGCTAAAAATACCCTAGTATGTAGAAGCAGTCATTTCACTCTTTTTTGTTTCTCCTCATTGTATGCTTTGCTGCACATAAAAGCTCAGGAAAACCTGTTTGCAAATGAAGATGCTTGTCTTGCCAATTTATTTATGTATACATGTAACAGGCTTAGAAGAGCCTCATCCACTCAGGGAAAAAAAAACAAAAAAACAAAAAAAACCCACCATCACTACCACCACCAACAGAAAAAGTAGAATTCCAGTGGGATTAAAACAAAAAGAAATGGAGATTGGAAGAAAGGAAAGTAAGGAAGCAGGATATATCTTATTAGTGACTCACCTCCTTAATGAGACTCATAAAGCGGGTCCCAAAGCGCCATGGTTTGTGGCGATTACACTGTAGTGAACTGACAGTCATCTGTGGGAACTGCTGGACAGCCACTGACACCACATGAACTGCATCATACATTAGAGCTGCATCCGTCTGAAATTAGAATGAAATCAGTACCATGAACTTAAATTGAAAACAACTGATGTCCCCGTGGTGAGAGAAGTGGCAAAAAAATTTAGTACTTCTCCTTACACTATAGGGAGAAAATAATCTGATTGCTTGTGTAGCACTGTGTAACACAGCCTTGCTGCCAAGTCCACCGATGCATCTGGACCTTTAATTTCAGCTTTTCTCTTTTTAATATTCAAATATCAAGTTTTTAGGATCACAGTATGACACCATTACCATTGATGACTCACATGATCTTTAAAAAAGCAGTGCTTTAGGGGCCTATAAATGCATGTTTGGCTCAAGACAGTTATTTCTTTGAGTGAGAAGAAAGAAAAGCAGATAAGCAAAGTAGCAAAAGCCTGATTATGAGAGAAAATTCCAAGGCCTAAGGAAATAATGTTTTTCTAATTGGAATTACAGACTAAATACTGTCCCAAAGGCATTCAGCTGATTCATTTGTAACTGTTTATAGGCATTGTTTCAAATCCCTAGAGTGGACCTAATCAATATCTCCTAAAAAAACAGTGGCAAATTAGAACTGCATTAAATTGCACATTCATTTAATTGTTTTCATGTCCCATGATAAATAAATGGACTGTTTAGATGTAGCATGTACTAACTGCTGTTGTATTACAGAACGATAGAGACAACCTCCCAGTACATACTGTCTGTAAAGAAACTGACTTCTCTTTTCTTCTTCTGTTTGATAAACAGAGACAAGCCTTGGAACCAAAAGAGAAGACCTTAGATTCACTAGTAGAAATGAATGCTCTGCCATCTGCTCAACATACCTTAGAGAAAAGGGACTTATTTCCCCTTCTCATTCACATAATTAGCGAGCTGTGAAATGAGTTCTTTAATGGACAGGAAACCTGAGGATTACTGCACTTGTCACAATAGAATACAATGCAAAACAAAATGAGCTTATATAGTGCCTTTCATGGAAATGCATCCCAAGGCTCTTTACAATAAAATTAAACATAAAAATGCAAAAATGCTCTACCATTATAGCTCATAAGGCTACTGTTAAAGGGGAAAATATGCGTTTACATGTAAATGGCTCTGCCACGAAGAGATCTCAAAATTCAAATAGAAATAAATCCTTATTTTAAATAGCTAATATAATAGGTTTCAATGATCTGAGACACCAAACAGCTGATGTAGACACTCCAAATCAGTCCGAAAATATTTTTTTCTGCCAAATTGTTCATCATCTTTAAGACAATAAAGTGTTTTTAAGGCAAGCTAATATCTGACAAGGAGACAGTGAAACTCCCAAAAGCAAGAATGACGTGCTGACTAAGCATCATACAAAGTTCAATATTCTAGCACTTTGCAGAAGTTGGAGTCTTGACAAAAGATTTTAAGATAAACTATAAAAGTTCAACACATTAATCTGGCTCAGAAATGCAAGCAGTATGTTTGGAGCTTGTTTCATTATTATGGTTTTATCAGTTTTAATTCTAAACGTGTAGAACTTGCACCAATGAAGGGAAATTGAAATTGCTGTGAAAATTTTGCAGAAGCAGCCTATTAAGAAGCAACCAGAAGTTCAAAAAAAGCATTACCTGATGGCTTTTTGTCAAATTCTGTAAGCCACTGAGCTTGAAGTCTGAAGGACAGTCAAATCCAGTGGAAACAATAAAAAAGCCATTGAAATTATGAAAGTAATTTGAATTCTCTTAATATTCTTTATACTCAACTGATAAGTATTATTCAGTGAAAATAAATCTAAATCAGAATGCACTCTTTTAGATGCATACAACGTAAAATAATCCTGGTTAGAAGTTGAGTGTTCAATTTGATTTTTAAATGCCACAAGATAAATTCATTGTTTACACAGGCTGAGATTCCTCAGTCCACTTTGTATAGGTAACATTAATGTTAAATGGGGATTTTAATGTTTTTATTGCATGAAGATAGATTCATATGCTGGAAACTATTGGTTTAGTGATTCAATATCATGCTCACCTCTCTGAGTGCAATAACTGATTTTACTGAATGAGAAATAAACACTACAGGGCTCAGAAAAAGATATGAAATATATGCCTGAATTTTCAAGTTGAACTATTCTTTTTTAGGTCACTTTATCTTTCATCTGAGACAAAAGGAATTGGTAGCAATTAGTCTAGCTCTCCAATTTCATTTGTTAGGCCCGCTAAGCTTTTTTTGCCTCTCATTGCCATTTGTCCATGAATCTTTATTTGTCTTCATTGCACTACTGAAAGGATGTTTTGTGGTTCAGAAAGCACTGCAGGTTTCAGCAAGAAACTTGTCCAGAATTTGAGAGAAAATGTACCCAGTTACTTTTTTAGCATTCTTTATCTTATCCAAACACTGATTGAGAGTCTGGAAGAAGAAGAGGAAATAAAGTTCATGAGAAGGAATGGTTCTTGAACTTCAGATAAGACCCTACAACATTTCCATTCACTGAAGCAGTGAATTCATAATAGAAGATAATCTTACTGAAAGGTAAGATGAGTACTTTTCAGTTAACTTGTATAAACTTTTTAAAGATTATGTTGTATTGCACAAACATATCTTGGTTCAGTTTTTTAAAATGTGTTTGTTTTCTTTGTTGTTGTTGTTGTTTTAAAACTTCACAGTATGTATTACTAATGGCTTATTTAAATATAAATAATGCATTAAAAATACTTCTCATGACACTTTCACTTGCATGTCTACAACTACAAAAGAAAAAATCCAAAGTACAGATGGTACAAATATCTATCAAATTGAAATAGTATGAGATAAAGCTGATAAAATTTAAAATGACTTGAAGTCTTTCAGTTGAGTCAATGAAGTAACAAAAAAGCTGTTAGCACTCAGAGACATCAGCTTAATTAGAGAAGTGAGCTCAGTCGGAGTACCTCAAATAGAGAGAAAGTACCAACACCTGTGTTTAATTTTTTATCCCAAACTCAGCTGTATACTACACATTCCTTCTCTATGTTCTGTCATTCTTTTACAGCCTTACTGCAGGTGTTGTGTTTGTCTGTACTATTTACTTGCAAGTCCTACTTGCTAAATATTGTCTAATCTCACTATGGAAGAGCTCTGGTGGGGACAAGACACTACTATTTCTCCCCATGCCTTCTCAGATTAAAAGGTAGAATCCCAATCAAAGATGCCATGGGCACTTTCTAAACTCCAGTAGATTAATGCAGAAACATTGCACATAATCCTAGACAACATCTTTGTCTCTAAATTGAAGAAAGATGGCTGTGATGGATGGACCATTAATAAACTGAATAACTAAACTTTGAAACTCCTCTTAGAACAAAATTTAGATACAACTGTTCTATAAAACAACTGAAACTCTAGACAGTCTAAGACTGGATTTTCCACACAAACAATTTGAAATGATTAAGAAGGTATGTCAAACAATATTTTTTCATCAAAGAAAAAAAATAAGAAAACGTATATTAAATATATACGTATACATATATTCTATAGCTCTGTTGACAGGTCCTGTCCTGTCACAAAATAGAGATCTTAATCTGTATTTATCAGCAACCAGTTACAAATGTAGTACCAAGTCACAAATGCATCATAGATTAAATAAATCAAGTTTCTATGCGAAGACAAATAAGAAAATGTTCTTTTCAAAACAAATCTGAAATTAAAAGAATATTTGGAATATATTCTGAATTTACTCTTTGGTCAGTTTTATTTTCAACTAAATCAACTCAGTAAAAATGGCAGTATGTGTACTTGTACACCTCACTTGAAATAGTGTATCACTTAAGCCCAGCTTTTTCAACTGATTAGTGATATATGCATATGCTATTTGCATGTTATCTTTACCTGCCATTATCTAATTAAAGACTACTACAATAAGCTTGATATCTTGTTCATACTGACTGTGATCACTGGTTTAACAAAGTGTTAATATGCTTATTTCGTAGTGCGGCAAGATTCTCTCACTGATCTTGTATTTATGGCACTTACACTTGCCAAGCTTTAGAATATGAGAATGTCGCATCTTCATTTGGCAAGGGGAATGTAAATATCCAAAGGTAGGTTCCTGGAGGATTGATTTTTGCATTGTCCCTTATAAACAGTGCTTTCTTACGCAACAACAATGCCTTGGATAAAGCACTATGTGCAAGGTCACGTTTTGTTTTTCAACTCCCAGTGTGTATCAAGACTATTTGTAGTTGACTTTTTGAGTGACAGAGATTAGGATGGTAAGAACAGCTTTGGTCTAAATAGTCTTAGAATTGAACGTATAATGGAGACAGAACAGCATATCTTCCCTCTCTGGTCTGGCCTTTTTGTAAAAGATAATATTATTTCAGACGCACTGCGCAATAAGGATTCGCAATGGCATACTTATTCATTTCAGTGCACACACAAAAATCCGACAATTAACCTCTGTATCTTGCTAAGTAATCCTCATTTTGTAATTACTTCTCTCAGCTGTCCTTGCTGTCCAGTAATTTAACAAATACAAAATTATTCATTAGAAAATTTAGAATAAATGATTGAGCAGAAAACAAACAAAATGTCCTTTTTTTGCTTAGTGTATTGAATCCACCACCCACCTTCTTTTTTCCCATATAAGTCCTATTTTCTAGATTATTTGATTATGATAAGGGTGAACAGAAATAAGCCTCTAGTAATTTTTTTCTTATTTCACAAAGTAACCCACAATGATAAACATCTTTTTAAAAAGTCAGAAAGAAATTTTTATATAATTATATACTACATGTATAGAATATACATATAATCAAAAATACCAGAAAAATCTGCTTGCTGAGTTTTTTTGGAAACAAAACAGTGGGCATGAGAACAGTGAGGCAGTGAGAGATATATTTCAGCAGGGGTGATAGTGGGTCATCTCCACTGACGCAGACATTTACCAGTGGAACTTGCAGTCTCTTGTTCATTGCTGGTGAAAATGCACAGCTTATGGAGGTGAATACATTGCAAAAGAGTGTTTTGTAGCAGAGAATTTGCTCTATCGAATAAAGTTATTG